CTCACATAACTGATTTTGAACTGAATGGAATCCATAGAAAAACTTCACAAACGATGAGATTTTAACAAAATTCTTAATTAATCACGTTACACGACATGTTTCGCTAACACAGTGGCTTCATCAGGTCAATCACTGATACAATGAAATAAAACAACCTACGCTTGCCTAACTTATATATATCCTACTTTCCCAACCCGAAGGATTAGAATTACCTGTGGAAAGGTTCGATAAACCTTCATTAGGCAATTAGGCACAATATCTACTTACATTAAAATACGGTGTTCCGGATTAACTCGAAAGGGTTGATAGCAAATACCTTATTACCTACCAAGAAAACAAATTCAACAGTGGTGAACTATTGAGGTCTAGTTGATCGTTATAAGTACGTGTTGAATTTCGAAATTATCATCAAAACTTTGGTTTCCTCATAATATATGGTTGGCGTATGTCAATCTAGTACACGAATGGCTGGGCAGTTCAGGTGCAGGTGTATACAACAAAGGAACAGAGGAAGAGAGATCTCGCTTCCTTTTTGGGAATATGTCTCAGTGTTCTAGGCTGAAGTACTTGCAATATTCACTTGTGTTCAAGAAAACCTGATCATGAAAGGTCGAACACCAATCACTATATATGCTCGGACAGAAAAGATGCAATCTGCAATACTGCAATACTGACTTTGCGATCCAATAGAATCACAACCAATATTTTTTTATCGCTTGGAGCGCACGAAGGGAAATCCCTATAATGTTCTAAGAACATCGTGCGTTCCTAGGGAGGATAGGGACAGGAGGTAGGTATTGGAATGTTTTTTAACTTCTGGAGATTATATGTTGTTGGGAACACTTCCTCAGGCAATGAATTCCAGTGCATAGCCGTTCTATGGATGAAGGAGTTTTGATAAAGTGCTGTTCGACATATTTCGAGGTTGACAACGAAAGGATGTGCTGACTGGGCTTGTCTAGTTCGTCTGACTGGTATTGCCAGTGAAGGGATGACAACAGAGATTTCCGAAGAACATTTCCCATGGAAGTATCGATAGAAAAGTGAAAGGTCGCCGACCTTTCTACGGTGTTCCAATGATGTCAGAGTGAGTGAGTGTGGCGTCCTGCTGACCTGTCTGCGCCGTGAGTTCCTAGTTTCCTGGGAAGAAATGGGAATTCTGCAAGAGAACGCAGTATGGAGGGTACTATCATATGCAAAGCTGTGGATGGGGCAAGTTCTTACTCCCAACAGATCATTGGTATGAAGAAGGAATAATGTTGGTGCCAAAATTGATCCTTGTTTAACGCCGGAATTGATGCCAATGGTATCAGACGATACACCGTCCTCCACCACCACGTGAAGCGATCGGCCTGAAAGAAAAGTCGATAAGAGATGGCATAGCTGAGGTGGTAAGCCGTATGATGGTAGTTTGTGGAGGAATCCTTCGTGTCAGACACGGTAGAATGCTTTCGTGCTTTGGTGGCCGAGTGCAGAAACTCCTTGGAAAACCTGTCAAAATCAAGAAAATTACTCCTCATGTGGGTCCCAGGACATTCGGGGATACCCGGAAACGAGGCAGACAGACTGGCCAAGACCAGTTTAGGGACCGGAACCAATCTTGGTAATACCAAACATCCTGAAAATGCCCTTTATAGACGGATAGCTAAAAAATCAATTCCTCAAAATATGGCAGGACACACCAGAAATGAGACAATCGGAGCTCCACCTAAACGAACCTTCGAAGAGGCTCCCAAAAGAGGTATCATCTCTCAACAGGCGAGACATTAAAATGGTAGTGGATCTCCTAACGGGGCACAACCACCTCAATATGCACTTAGACCTCATTGGCATCGAAGATCATTTCCTTTGCAGATGGTGCCTGGAAGATGACGAAACGTCATCGCATGTTCTCACTGAGTGCCCAGCACTGATGCATCAGAGGAGGGCTCCCAGATAGCACACAATCGCCTAGGGTCAGGTTAGAGCCTAGAGAGGACGTTATATTTTCTTCAACCTAAGAACATCATCAGGCGTAGATTTAGCGCCGTAATTGTCCTAAAAAAGTTCTTTCAGTGACAGCCTGAGGCTGCAGTGGATTTCGTGCCTACGGATGTCTTCAGAAGAACTAGAAATACTAGAAGTGAGGTTATGTCTCATATATTTCTCTGAGAAATTGATAATAAGAAATACAGGTGATTAATTGATCAAATCATTGATAGTAGGTACTGGACATGTAATATCAAATATATCATTTTATTTCAGGAGGTAATTGAGAACACAAACTTGATGATATCATCAGAGCAGATATGTTCAATTCCAAGATATTTTGGCTTCTTCGGAATCTATCAAACATTGTATGAAGGCTTGAACTTTCAGTGGATTCAATAAAATATGTAGGTACCTACCTGAATTGATAATAGGTACTGGACATGAAATATTGATACATTATTATTTGTTCCAGGAGTTTATTGATGAGAACACAAAACTTGATCATTATATCATCAGATCAGAGATGTTTGATATCCCAACATAATTTGGCTTCTTCGGAATCTATGAAAGATTGTGTGCAGGCTTCAACTTTCAGTATAGATACAATAAAGGTACTAGGTAGGAAGCAAATCATATTGATAGCAGAGGTATACCTACTGGACATAAAATATCACTACAATATTTGTTTCAGGGAGTTATATTGAGAACACAAACTTGATATATCTTATTATCAGAGCAGATTATGTTTCATTCCAAGAAATGTTGGCTTCCTCGGAATCTATAAAATATTGTATGCAGGCTTGAACTCTCAGTAGATTCAATGAAGGTAGGTACCTAAATCAAAACATTGATAGTATAGGTAGGTACTGCACATGAAATATTAATACATTATTCATTTCAGGAGGTTATTGAGAACACAAACTTTTGATGCTTTCATCAGTGCAGAGATGTTCAAATGAAAGATATTTTGGCTTCTTCAAAATCTATAAAAGATTGTATGCAGGCTTAAACTTTCAGTGAATTGAGCATCAGAAAGTATGTTCAGTGTTCATAAATCACAAATGATAACAAGAAGAGAACTTACAACAGAATCAGAACAAATCAGAAATCATCATAATGTATTATTATGTTGATGATGGGTTTTCTCTTAGAAAGAAAGAAACAAAGTTAGGTGGATCAAATCATAGATAGGTATTACATGGATATGAGATATTGAATCATTGTTCGTTTCAGAAGGTTATGGAAAACACAAACTTGATGTCATCTATAAAATATTGTATGAAGGCTTCAACTTGCAGTAGATTCAGCATCCAGAGTTGAGAAATCAAAAACAACATAGAGAAATATTGCCAATGGGCAATAACTACTACTAGTGCTCAACAAGAAGCTGAGATTAATTTTTTCAAAACGAAACTCTAAAATCTTCACAATAAGCTATAAATAATGGAATTTAAGCTTTTCATTTGAACATAGTATTATTCCAGGGACTCAAATATCATGTTATCCATATTTTTTCAATAAAATCTCATTTTTATCAACCTATCCCTAGACATTTTTGAATACTACCTGAATGTGTTTCCATAACGTCCTATACATGTCCCAGAAGACCTTATAATGATGTTCTAAGACGTCTTCAGGCTCGCCCTCGACGTCCTGAGGACATTATTGTGAACGCCTCAGAAGGGCCTCAAAAGGTATTTGCGCTAACTGGGTTATACCTACTTGGCAACATAATTCTCAGGTCCAGAGGACGTGAGAGATATTCAGTTGAGGACGCTGCTGACCTTCCCCAAGGGATTCGGTATACCCATCTGAATGTCGGAACATGTAGACGCAGAATGGGCTCGAATAAGAATAAAGCCTAGGTGCAGGGATGTTCACCCGCCCACCACTGCTTCGAAGAAGAAGAATAATATACGGTTTATTATAACAGTGATTTATTCAATTAAAACAATCTTCGTTACTCTAATACAGTAGGTCGTTTATAATAATGAAATATAACAAGAAATATAATTATATGTGAATACATACAAACTTTACATCGTTAAGTGTCTAAAATGCCTTCAGTTTCAATAGTTGGCTGTAGAGCATCAAGTAGGTGATTCGATCGAAATGGTTTCAGATCAGCTGTGATATTTTTAAGCTTCATATCGATGTCTTGTCATTGATGAAACCACAATGGAACAATTTGAGTCAAAATGGAATAATAATATTCTCAACCTTAGGATTTTATATTTTATAGTTATCAGTAAATTTTGAAATTCAGCCAGATCAAAATAAGAACGTCGATTTTCTCATTCGTTGATACTATCTTGTTTGAAGATATCGACTATCAATTTTCAACGGAACTGACTACTCATATAAAGTACATGCTCCACAGCTCAGAGGATTCAACAATTTCTGATTATTGTGACAGATATGCCATTGATTCTTCAGGTGATAATTGTGAGATGTAAGCTGCTGCTAACTTTGAAATTTTTATTATGTCTAAATTCGCTTCCACTGCTATTGCCTGACTAGGTCAGAAGAATGCTACTTTCTCAAACGAAAATTGTCCGCAAAGTGACTATACCTACTTTCCGGATCATTGCCGAAAACAACAACAACATTTTATCATACTGAGGTTTTCCGAGCACCCTGTACGTATGAATGAACAATAAAATATATATCTTGCATAAAATATATGTTGAAAAAAAGTATAATTCTTACTGTTCTAAACATTCTTCATCTATACGTATTCTTCGTGTATAATGTTCAATATATTATAAATAATATGATAGGATTAAAATACTCTATGGTACATCAATTTGTGTTCGAATAATCTTCGATTAGAACCTAAAGCTCCTTTATATTCTTATAGGAACAGATTGAAACACTTTTAGTGAATAAGAAGACGACAGGCTAATAAATTTCTCAAACAGTTGTCGACAAATCAGAGACTCATCGAAACATGATATGAATATCTTGTAATTTCACTTGAACTGGCATGTATTATGCAGATTTCCATCCAAATTTACCATATCCCGTCTTCATACACTCTTGAAAACAACGAACATCACGAAGAGCAAAGCATGATTGAAATACTTCATTGCACTCGAATTCCCATTGCAGAAATCTTGAAGGTTGCAGTTGTTGGCGGTATTCTTGATTTTCTGTTGCACTGTAGACCAGGTGCAGAGACCGACAGAGCAGTCAGTAAACTCGACTGGATTCTCGTTCAAGAAGAACATCACCCTATGCTTCTCTCCACTTCTACATCTGAAAAATTAATTTCGTATTGAATTATGAGATAAGATTTCCACACAATTCTCAAACACACAACATGTTTCGCTAACACAGTAGCTTCGTCAGGTGATATACTGGTACAATGAACTAAACCAACCTTATTGACTTGCTCAACTCTCATATATCCTAATCTCCCAACTTGAAGGATAAGTTTCCTGCGGACAGGTTCGAATCTACATCAAGATACGGTGTACCAGATGAACTTGAAAGAGTTGATAGCGAATACATATTATTATAATATTAACCTACTAAGAAAACAAATTCAACAGTGGTGAGCTATTGAGGTCTAATTGATCGTTGAGTAAAATGTCATAATTGTTGAGTTTGTTGATTTCTAATGATTCAAAATGATTGAGTTTCATTCCTTCATTTTCTACGTGTAGAATTTCGAAATTATCATCAAAACTATATATAAATGGTTGGCGTATGTTGAATTTGTTTTCTTTTTTAAAATATTTAACTTTGGAAAAGATCACAGTTGGATTTGTATACCCCTGATTTTTCGAATTCAGAAGTTTTGTCTTCATTATTTTTGATAACTCTTCCCAATGTGTTATTTGTTCTATATCCTACTGAAAGTACCAGATGTAGCAAAAGGGACGGGTTCGATAAACCTTAATTTTCGGAAAAATGGCACAATATCTACATTGAATTACGGTACACGTAGAAAATAAAGGAAAAGAACTCGATCAATTACATTCACATTTACTTAACGATCAATTATTCCTCAATAGTTCACCACTGTTGAATTTGTTTTCTTAGTAGGTAATAATATGTATTTGCTATCAACCCTTTCAAGTTAATCCTGTACACCGTATTTTAATGTAGATATTGTGCCTAATTTCCGAGAATGAAGGTTCACAGGTAACCAATCCTTCAAGTTGGGATAGCAGTGGCGGATCTAGGCAGTTTTTCAGGGGGGGGCCATGGGCCGTGAGTTAATGGAATTTTGAAACCAAAGTAATTGAAACCACATGAATAATGAATGATATGTATATGAATATATATATATTCAATTAATATTAGTAGCTGTATAATATATATAGCACAAAGCCCATGGTTTTAACTTCATCACTTTCGTTTAGGGTGAAACTTTGCACAGGGAATGGTTTTGGTATGAAAATGTTCAGGGACAGCAGAGTAGAAAAAACATCTGAAAAGACCAAAGTAATGTGTTTCAAATCTCCAGAAAAGAGATGCGGGTAGAGGATGGATATTACTTTTATTTGCCGTGGCGCTCCGTGGCCACTCACTGATTTTTGGTGGAGTATTCACTTTTCAGCTGCAGGAAAATCCGGAAAAACCTACAGCACCACCTCGGGTGGTCGGAGCTCACTCCAGGATAACATAAATGTGATGGATAAAAATGTGACTAAACAAACAAAAACACAAATCCACAATTTTACTGATAAGTAAACTTAATAATTAAACGCATAAAACATAAGCTTATTGAATTATGTTCATAAAACAAAATCTACATGCCTATGGCCACTGTCGGCAAATCTGTTGATAACTAATTGTTCATTAATCTCAATGTCCGGATGAGCGTTAATAATAGCTAAACCAGATAGCCTATCTTCCGAAATAGTAGATCTGAGCCAACTTTTTATCCGCCTCAACGAAGAAAAACTTCTTTCTGATGAGGCAACACTGATCGGAAGTGTAATGAAAATTTCAAGAAATGATGTTATTAAAGGAAACATTATTTTATCGCAGTGAGCAAGGGCTCCTAAAGCATCGTCTGGAACAGGAAGTTTTTCTTCGCTGGCTTTTAACCACTTCGCCTTCCATAACTTCAGTTCGCTTTTGAATTCTGTCGGCCTTGAAAATAATTATTTTTCCTCCGATTGGCAGCAAATATTGATTTTGCTGACACATATCAATCAGCAAAGTATTACTTTTCCTGCCTAGGCAGCAAAGTGGGCCTTAGCTGGATTCCTAGAATCGCTACGCTCGGCTATGAATTTAGCCACGGCAGTCAATCTACTACTTTGCTGCCTAGTTAAACAAATAACTATTTCCTCTATCGTTATCTGTTTTGCCGCCCTTTGATCTGACCGCCTGTGTCGTTTTCCCATATTCCCACTGCATACAAGAATATTTCTATATAATATTTGTATATGATAATGAATGAAATTCAAAAAAGAGTTGATTTGGCATGTTCGAGTGTTTGAGGAACCATTCAATACGAAAACTACGAATACGAATAATTTTGGTTTGTATAACGTAGCTTTGGTTGCATATCCAGACTGATTGTTGAACCAATATCAACTACTTATTCAGAGCTCTGGGGGGGGGGCCATGGCCCCCATGGCCCCCCCCTCAGATCCGCCAGTGTGGGATAGTAGGGTATATAAAAGTTAAGCAAGCCAAGGTTGGTTTAGTTCATTGTACCAGTATATCACCTGACGAAGCTACTGTGTTAGCGAAACATATTGTGTGTTTAAGAATTTTGTGGAAATCTTATCGTTTGTGAATTTTTCACATTTGCCATGAATTTCCATCAAGTAATGGCCGAGTCAATTCAAAACAAGACTTATAGACTGATCTAAACCGCCAATTCTATAAGAGACACTGATTCATGCGCATTTAGGATCTGTCATGTTACAAACATAATAATAATAATAATAATAAAGCGTCTTTATTCACAATGAGGAAACAATAAATGATTACATATAAATTTTGTGAGTCGAAGTGGGAACAAAGTGAAAGGGCGGAGTGTCAGCTTACGCTGTTTTTAAACTCAACCTTGAAAATACATTCACAATAACCAAAATTAATTAAGAGAAATACAAAAAGGAGTCTTAGACTATCATGTTTTTGAGAAACAAAATTTTGTATACAAATTAAGCCAACCTATACTATATATAAACTAATATAAAGAACCATATAGTCGCATATCATGATGACTTCAGCCTTTTTTTGAAGTTTTTGATCGTGAACGATCTATATTCACTGGGAAGCGAGTTGTATAGTTTCGGAGCTATATAAGAGAAACTACGTGTAAAAATTGTTGACTTGTGCTTGCGAATGACTAAATAAATGACATAAATTCGAGGAACATGGGCGTATCGAAAAAAAAATGGTTGTTAATGGTCTATTATGGAAGGATGTTAAACCATAGATAAAAGTAGCGAGAAATGTATGAGATATGCAGTATTTGGATCTCATAGCCTCCAACACACAGATTTGAGAAATCTATTTCAGAAACGGCGGATTCGCATATGGTGCAATGTCTTGGACTTGCCTTGAAGCATCAGAAAGCTCTGTCTGGTATGAAATAGAATGAACATATTGTTCCTGAGTGGCTAAGATCCAATCGTCTTCTAATAGCCCCAAACCATTCGTTTATCTCATTCTTAGGAATTCTAGAGTCACTATTGAATGAGTGAACTTGTAATCCTTAATAGATGAGCATCAGGTATGGCATCTCACACCAGAACTCGAATTCTTCATAGCTGAATGATTATACAAAACATGCATGATTCCATTCGATATGAAGACTTGCTCAACTGATGGAAGCAAATTGAAATAATAAATTATTCATTACCCACAAGCTCACTGATAAGAAGAAATACCTTCAGTATTATAATTCATGGAATTCTCACAGCAAAGAACAGACCACTTCATAATTCCTAGGATTGACGAAAATAAAACGAAAACATTAATATCACTGCGTATTGAGGAGGAGCGTTTTCAGGCAAGCAACTGACCCTACATTTTCGGGTTGCTGCGATATGACTACTAGCAGTCTAGTTAGAGTAATGAGTTGGTGGATTTATATTGAAAAGTCGAGATGGACGATAAACCAGTGTGATTCCTCATGTTTCACCGCGAAGGTCTTGAGTCGAAGTTGGAATTGCTATATTCGAGTTATAGAGGGTGATTCATGAGGAGACTCACAGAGCCAAATGGTGAATAGAGGAAATCACGACTAGTTGATGTATTTCTAATATAAACAATGTTTTTGGCCATCCATAACGAAGAGTATGAGAAATTGTCATATAAGTTGGATGACCGATATTCCACTTTGTGATCACTTTTCTCGAAAACTTTTATCAGAATCAGAAGAATCAGACGAAATGCCATAAGAACTGCTCTTCAATTTGCACGACACACGTTTACCGGTTTTAAAAATATGAAACGAAAGAAATTTTCGAACTCGACCTGGCATCACATACTGTACATTTTTGTTGGATGAAAATGGACAGAAAGGAGAAGTAAAGAAAACACAGTGGGTACTGTTTTTATGATGATTTGAAATTATAGTTCTTGATCGAAATTCTAGATTTAATATTTTTTATAAATATGTGCTGAAGTAGAGGCCATGTTCTTCATTTTATGATAATCAAAATATGCATGCACTTGAGATGACACTTCATTTTGCAAATGCTGAACATGACGAAAATTCAAATGATGAGATGTTAATACCATAGAAGATTTCCAGACCCAAGAGTACGTAGTGAAACCTTCACGAGGGTGAACATTGGGAATATTGAAGGAAGAGCAAATACATCCCTATCACTTGCAGAAGTGTTAAGAACAAATGGAGCATTTTTTCATGAAACCGGTCAAAGTGTGCTGTGCAAATTGAGAAACAGTTCTCATGGTATTTTGTGTGATCTTTCCTAATCTGATGAAATTTTTCGAAAACGTTAACACAATGTGAAATTTTTTGACATAACAATAAAACATGGAATTGCTCACAATTCCGGATCTGGTCTTTCTGTTTATAATATGCAATCTTGAATAGTTTCAATAGAGAAAAGTCGCTGCCAAATTTCAGCTAATCGTTTCTGAAAGAAATATCTGCTATCAAAATTATATGGCACTTTCACAAAATACGTTATGGATAGAATAAAAAACTGTTCATACATACATCAATTCGTATCTCCCTATCCACCATTTGGGTTTCTTCTTGGAGCTCACGAAAAGAAATTCCTGTAATGTTCGTAGAACATCGTGCGTACCTATAGGGAGGTATAGGTATTTGGATCAATTTTGGACTATTAGATTTTATAAGTTCTCGAGAATACTTCCATTGGCAAAGAATTCCAAATCTTTGCTGTTCTACAGATGAACAAGTGTTGGTAAAGTTTTGTTCGACATATCCCAAGGTTGACAACGCAAGGATGTGCTAACTGGGCTTGTCTGAATGGTATTGCTAGTGATGGAATGATAACAGAGATTTCTGATGTTTGCTGAATTTGTATGAGCTGACCAACGCAGCACCTGCATGATGTTGTCAAATTGAAAAAAAAAAAGTGTCACTTACTCATATAACACAGCGGCCAGATTAGCAGCAAAGGGGTTCAGTAAAGAGGTTCTCCAGTTCCTTTTACTTTGTTGATGATAGTTATCTGCAGTGAGTGGAGTGAAATCTTTGCCGATTCCTAAAGTTGTCAGCACTGTCTGAATTGTGGCCGTACTAGTGAACAGGAAGGTACCCTTAGTTCCATCGGAATTTCCTGGAATATCATAATAAAACATAGCGTCGAAACGAAGCTCCAAAACATTTATACTACATTTATAATTTGAGTGACCAAATGAGGAATATATGACACAAATGGAATCCATCATCAGCTATATCAGCATATCCTTCAATTCAATGGAAGGCACTCATTGAATATGAGTTTAGATCAAGATTTTGCTAAAAAAGCGGTTAATATGAATCATTGTCTACTTAATATGGAAAAAAAAATCTAGTGCGGTGAAGTTCCCCTAATGGGACCTTTTTGCAAGCCCCAAGGTGTTTTCAATGACTGATATGGTTCGCTTAAAAGAGCTGGCTAACATCCTTTTCAGGCACCGCCCATCAGCTCTCTTTCAGAGTTTTTCGGCTGTGTTTTGTAGGCTAGTAATGTACTCACTACCGTAGGCGCAGTGGCAGACCTGCTAGCTATCCTTGTTAACCCCCGTTAGAGACTAGGGTCCATTTAGCAGCTGGCCCGCTCTCACGCTCAGCTGGTAGTTTTCCACACCCACCTACATACACCGTCCTACTTCTTCTCTGATGCTCACAACTACATCACCATATCTTTCTCCATGTTCTGTGTAGGCTTTGTTACTAACTCTATGCGCCACTTTAGGAGCAGCAGTGTTAATTGGAACGCAACAGTAAATCGTGCAGGACTCTCCCCACCCGATGCTCCGAAACTTTACAATATTTAATTCGAAAATTTTTACTGGCGGTTGATCTAGCCGTTTGAAAATCACCGTCGCATTTTGTGATTGCCCCTCATATCTGACCCCTCCATTAAACTAAACCCATGTTTAGTTCGATAGAGGCCTTCAATTGCAGGACTCATCAATAAAGGCTGACGAACTCCATTTGATGACGAAATATATTTCTTATTCAGCTGAAATTATGAATATCCTGGAAATAATTTTAGATTTTTTATAATATTTTTGACTACTTTAAGCAACGATTGGAGAACTTCTTCAAATGTTTAAGCTTTGTGCATGAATATGTGCATAAATATGTATGACACCCTTCTGAAATCATAGAAATCATCCATTTTTTCTCAAAGTGGTCCAATTGATTTTAAAGAAAAAACAATTAAAAATCCCAAAGTCTGTCGACCACAAAATCATTTAATAAGCGACGTGTTACTAGTTTCGGCCACAGGCCATCATCAGACACAAAATTGATGTAATATAGTACCTAAAATATAATGATAGACAATGTTATGGGGTAAAAAGAGTCATACAATCATATTATACTAACCTTATAACATATTGAGAAAATTATTAAAATCGAAAAGCTAAGTCCAAAAATTCAGTTGACAGTCCAGCATATTCAAGAAGTTTTTAATCTGGAGAATGTCCAGTAAAACCAAATTAAAATTGGGTTATTGGCGAAGTACATCAGGAACTATAATTATTCAAAAATTCTCTCACGTGAGATTCATCAAGAAATGCGAAAAGCAAATGGAAGCTGAGATAGAATTCAAGGGACCAGAATCATCATAAATCACAAGGAAATAAATAGTCGAAGAATGAGTGACACATGTCAAAGTCAACCGGAACTGACATGAAACTAAAAACTGAGGTGGTGACACAGAATATGACACCGACAAGAGACGTCAATATAAATTAATTAACAATAACCATAACAAAATCAAAATTTTCTCTCTTGGTCTCATTGCTTCAAATTTTGATTTTGTTATGGTTATTGTTAATTAATTTATATTGACGTCTCTTGTCGGTGTCATATTCTGTGTCACCACCTCAGTTTTTAGTTTCATGTCAGTTCCGGTTGACTTTGACATGTGTCACTCATTCTTCGACTATTTATTTCCTTGTGATTTATGATGATTCTGGTCCCTTGAATTCTATCTCAGCTTCCATTTGCTTTTCGCATTTCTTGATGAATCTCACGTGAGAGAATTTTTGAATAACTATAGTTCCTGATGTACTTCGCCAATAACCCAATTTTAATTTGGTTTTACTGGACATTCTCCAGATTAAAAACTTCTTGAATATGCTGGACTGTCAACTGAATTTTTGGACTTAGCTTTTCGATTTTAATAATTTTCTCAATATGTTATAAGGTTAGTATAATATGATTGTATGACTCTTTTTACCCCATAACATTGTCTATCATTATATTTTAGGTACTATATTACATCAATTTTGTGTCTGATGATGGCCTGTGGCCGAAACTAGTAACACGTCGCTTATTAAATGATTTTGTGGTCGACAGACTTTGGGATTTTTAATTGTTTTTCTTTACCCTTCTGAAATTCTGAAATGCCATAAACTTAAACTTACCATTGACGGTCTTTTCAAATCGTTCATACATATCCTTCACAGGAGCACATCCTACTCTATTGCTCAGTTGATTTCCGTAACCAAATTTGTAATAGTATTTCAAATCCTCAGCGTATTCAAGTAATTTCAGTTGATCCTTATTGAAGGCGACACACCATGGTGAACGTTCTTGAACAATCCTACGAAATGATAATAATAATTTTTTTTCTCCAAAGAAATAAGTGAGTACAGATGCGAATAACATGCCGCATAAGAGCGGTAATAGCAATTGTGCATTCAGAACACCTTGTATCTTGAAAACGGATGGCGTTACGACATTTTTTTACTGAGCAAACCCAACTTATTTCGCAATGTTCTACCTACCCTAACAAGGGGGTTAGGTTTTTTTGAAACACCCTGTATATCAGATACCTTGGCAGGCCTTGCTTCTAGAACAATATATCTCCCTCTCTAATTATTGTTCCATCGATTATTTCGAGATTATTCCAGATTCTTCTGTCAGGTCATTGTCGTTCTAGATGACAACCTAGTTAGGTAGATTTAGATCGACAATGGTCAGGTAATGTGACGCCGTGACATATATTGGGTGTTCGGAATAACGCTGGAACATGTTATAATAATTGGGATGTTCAAGAGTGATCTGTAACGCGTGTTACTGATGGGTGATCGTTGTACTCCTACCTTCCTGATGATGTTCTAAAGCCCCTTTGTAACCTCATTTTTAGAAATGAAGGATGAAGCAATTATGGCCTGTTTTCTTTTAATTACACCTCAGCCTTATCGTCTTTCAACATTTCTTTCTTGAATTTACTCCATTATCATTCCTATTACTCCAGAAGTACAATTTTATAGCATCACACGATTTTATCGAATTCAATTAACATTATAAGCATTGTGATTCATAAATGGAAGCCTTGAAGCTGGTAGGTACATATTGACGATTTCAGAACTACATATTATAGTGTAAGTATGTTTGTTGATGAATAACATAATGCCAGGTCTCACGTCGCCCGAGTTGTGAGAAATTATCTAGAGAAGTCGGTAAAGCTAACATCGCATGGCCAGCTCGGAGCCCGGATTCAAATCCCATTGACAATCTCTGGGACATTCTTGGGACAAGATTACAAGAGTAGAATAACTTGTATACTGTAGAAGACGCACGGCAGAGAATGACTCAAATTTGGGACCTGGACCAAAATTGCATAAAGTCTAATATTTCAAGCATAGGGTGTTTTTGCCGAAAAGTTATTCGTGCTCGAGACGGAAATACTCGCTACTGACCCTCTCGTTTAACTTGTGACTTCACATTCTGTTTCGTGTTTTCGTTGTTAAATTTGGATATTAATTTTCCATAAAACCATGTTACGCTATGAAATGATTTTTCACGAGTAAAAGGAAAGATAATGAGCTCGAGTTCTATGATAGTTAGAAAATTGATTCAAAAACGGATGTGAATGAGACAACAAGGTCCATAACTAGAAATTATTGCCGCATATACAGGGGGCACCGGAAAAAATCTAGAGGGTCAGTATGACTTTTTTAAATGGAATGTCCTATATATTAGCACATTCTTTGAAGCATTTCTGTGACTACCATCCACTTCTATAATATTGTTGACTATATCTCAATCATTCCGAAGTTATTAATTTTTTGTTGCAGATCCATGTCGAAAATATCACTGTAGTCACAATTATCAAATTTAATAGAGAATTAACTGAAAAACATTCGCTGGAGAGATGTTTCTATAGAATTTTTATGCCCTCAAATTATACCTACAGGGTGGCTTAAAATGATTTTTCAATTCGGAACTTTTGGAAGTGATTTTTCTCGAGTTTTTCAAATGGAACACCCCATATATGTTTAGGCCATTTGGTGTGAAATCGAAATACGGACATTTTTTATTTCAACATCCATATTGATATTTGTAACTATGTTTGAATTATTGAACGTTGAAAATTCTAGTTTGGCCAATTTCATCGATACACATTCTTATATGTTATCAAAATATAACATCAAAACAAAACCAGGATAGTAATTAACAATAATTATGCAAAATTTTGTTCTTTTCCACTTCTCATATATCTAGCATATAGACTATTTCTGTTTGCTTTGATTCTGATATCAATAAATTATCAATTGAACTTTTGATGTTGAGAATGTGTATCGATGAAAATGGCCAATCTATAATTTTCGAAATGCAATAATGGTTACGAATATGAATATGGATGTTAGTATAAAATATGTTCGTGTTTTGATTATATACCAAATGGCATACAAATATTTGGGGTGTTTCATTTGAAAAACTCGAGCAAAATCACTTCCAAAAGTTCCGAATTGCAAAAACAGTTTTAGCCACCCTGTATGATATGAGAGCATGAAAATTCTATAGAAATATCACGCATCTTTCCATCGAATGATATTATGATTTTTCTCTCTTGAATTTCATGATTGTGATTACAGTGATTTTTTCGGTATGGATCTGCAGATAAACAGTGACCTTGTTCACTTCTACACACGAATAACGTATAACAGTTGTTGAACCAAGTCAATGATGAGAGGAAGGAGAATTCGTATATTCAATCATAACACCTCGAGTCAGTGATCCCATTAGGATTGACAAAAATGCACCCCGGAATCACACTATACGTAGGAATGTCAAGCATCATCATTATCACCCTCATGAACTCAAAATTATTATAATAATAAGTATTGATGAGGAGACTGACATATCCAAAAGGTGAATAGAGGAAATCAATTCATTCGAAAGTTTTTGTTGCATATTGAAGATCAGTTCCTCTTGCATTTTGTCTGATATATTCCTGAATCTGATAAAATGTTTCGAAAAAAGTGATTACATTGTGAACTTTTTCGACATAATTGAAAATTAATTCTTCCCAAGTCCGGATCTGTATGCCATTACATATTTCACCATATTGAAAAGTTTCAATTAAAAAACGCCGCTGACAAATTTCAGCCAATTACGATGAATCATTTCTGAAATATTGCCCAACACCCTTTATTTTCATTATGGATCGCAAAAAAAATTCTTCATGTATGTATATAGTTCAAATCGTCTTGATTTCGTCTATTCACCATTTGGCTATGTGAGTCTTCTCATGAATCACCCTGTATAGGTTTGAACTCACCAAGCTTTTTCGTAACGACACAAGTCGTAAATATCACTTATGACGGTAGCATTAAGTGAATATCTGAATCCCAGTCTTCTGAAAACGTCTCTAGTCATCTTCATGTATTCGGAATTCTGCAAGAACCTTTCTGCTTCAGATGTTACGGCTGTGTTGTTATCAACATTTTCTGACCACTTAGGACAATTCTCGTTAGGCTGGAAAAGTATCACCAAATAATTTGTAAATTCAATTCTAGTTAAAAACAGCTATGTCACAACTATAAATATACCTATAGAATATCAAGTTTCAGATCAATAGTCATATACCAGATCTGAAGCCCCAGAAAGAACCTGAGGATTCGATGTTATCGATTTAAAGCAAAGGAACTCGAACAACAGAGTAGTCGGATAACCGATATTGATGAAAGCAATGATAAACATTGATGGCACTCCATTCATTTCATTTTGGTTCTAGTGTAACTCACAGGTGTAACTTCAGTTCATCGAAACAACCATGATGTGTTCATCATCAGTTTGATAAAATAATTGTTTCCTGGCCTATTATGATGCATTGAAGAACACAAAGTCCTTGTTTGGGCCAGGTTGGGTTATTATAACTTTAACAGCTTCAACAAACCATTTCCTGGGGATATTGAGATACCCATCCAGTGCAGGTGCCTTTTTAGTAAATTTCTATGATGATAATTTTGTATAACATTTTGCTGTTTCAATGAGTTCTAAGCGACTCCACTATAACTGGTTTCGTTCTATAGACTACTCAGTATGATGATGCCATGTGTAGTGGCCTTTTTCAATGACAAATGCTGGCTCTAGAACAGCACAAACCTCGTCAGATAGCCAATATCCCTATGTGTCTAGAGTCTGAAATGGAATTTTGATTTCATGATCTGCTAAAATCTAAATATGGAATCGACCCTATAGATTGTGAGTAAAATATAACTCACTTGTTTTTGGATGTATGACAAATTGATATTCATTATACGAACATGAAAAAATTATTATATATTATACAAAGATATACACATTGAGAATCCGCATTATCTCTATATGTGATGAAAATATCAATTCTTTCTCGGTTTATTCAACAAAAAACAACCATTTTCTTGGCTATATGCCACGGCGAACATTGAATTATATCTATTGAAAATACACGATAAGATTTTGAAAACAAAATCTTCTGAAGTTGAGAATTCAAATTCTCCTTCAGATAAAAATATATATATGCACACAATATAATTATGAATATTCAACAGAAAACAACTACTTTCCTGGCTATTTGCCATGTCGAACATTGAAATATATCTGTTGAACATCCAAAAAGACAGTTATATTTTTATATCATAATACATCACATTATTAATCCGATTTGAGAGAAAATGTCAATTCTCAATTCCAGAGGATTTTTATTTTTCAAGCTCTCTTTTCGGACGTTCAACAGATATAATTCGTGGCAAATAGCCAGGAAAGGAGTTGAATATTCAGAATGATATTATATGTGCACAAATTCTCAACTTCAGAAGATTTTGTTTTCAAAATCTTATCATGTATTCTCATCATTGATTTAAAGCAATGTTCGCCGTGGCATATAGCCAGGAGACTAGTTGTTTTCTGTTGAATAAACCGAGAAAGTATTGATATTTTCATCACATAGAGAATAAGAATTCTCAATGTATTTCTTAATATATATATATATCAACTGTTTCTTGTTCATCATCTATCTGAGAATATTTCTTTTCAATATTCCCCACTTGTTGGCAATCTCGGTTGTGCTGAAATTTGACGATCAAATTGACCATAGAAGAGCTCTAAATCAAATGTTTACCCCTTGATGAAAAACTGAGGGGTTGTTTTTTTTTGTAGGACTTTTAATATCAGAAATATGGCGATGGCGCCAGAATGAGAAAAATATTCAAGAAACAATCAAAAAATTCTAAAACACATACTTTATGTTTCATCTAGTTGTTCATCAATTATTATTCATACACGAAGGAATTGAAACATTCAGAATGGAATAGTTTTTAATCTTGATAGATTCCTTCTAGATAATCTCTGGTAGAAGTCCATGTTTGCTCAAAGTGGAGTGTAATTTTTAAAGGAGGAAGGAAAGCTCAAAGTCATCTCCACAACTTTAATATGAAGTGTTTATTCAACGGGACATGTTTCGAACTTATAAAAGTCCATCTTCAGCCGTATTTAAGAAATTACTGAAAGTAAAGACATGTGAAAATATACAAAATGTTATAAAAATTGTTTTTTGACTTACATGGAGGTGAAACATTGTTTGTTTTAACAATGATGTCGATGTCTCTCATCATAATGTCAATTTATTTATTCTTCATCAATGACATTATGATGAGAGACATCGACATCATTGTTAAAACAAACAATGTTTCACCTCCATGTAAGTCAAAAAACAATTTTTATAACATTTTGTATATTTTCACATGTCTTTACTTTTAGTAATTTCTTAAATACGGCTGAAGATGGACTTTTATAAGTTCGAAACATGTCCCGTTGAATAAACACTTCATATTAAAGTTGTGGAGATGACTTTGAGCTTTCCTTCCTCCTTTATTCCTTCTAGATGTTAAACAACTTGAAAAAAGAAAAAAAAGACGAATTATCATCACATTACAAATGTTTATGGTGGTTTCTCGAACTGAATGAAGTCTTTGAGTTCCTGTAAAAGTTTGAATCTGAAATATCAAAAAATAGTAAAATCTCAATATCATATTTGGTACACTCCGATGTGCACTCCCACCAAAATTTTAAATGGTGAAATCCATATCAAGAAGTAGAAAATGATCGATGCGGATGTATTCTTTGATGCAGAAAAGGTTTCTCACTCAGCATGCCTCAATAAAGTTGGTGTCTATCGATCTGCTTTAGGTAGGATATAAAGGGCGTAACATAAGTACGATATTCGAGTGACGTATTCCTGAGACAATTTTAAGAAACAAGTTTAGATAAACTTGTGTCCGGAAATGATTCATTTTGGACATAAAGGTTGTTGAAATTGAATGTTTTGTTCGCTTTTCGAAAATAACTGTTGCGAATAATGAGTTATTCACACGGAATTTGGTACCAGGAGGTTCTTTGACGTGAGAAATCATAATCTCGTGTTAATTCTCATGTAACATCTAGAGGGCGCTGCGTACGCTGTCATTATTCATTTCAAATTGCCCTAACATTTTTGACAGTGAACTTGTGGTACTTTTCATGAAAAAATCTCATTCCCACACCTTTTCCAAGTAAAAAAATTGCTCTTCCACAACGCTGGAGGTGATCGTTTTCGAGATTTTTACAATTTTCTATATCTATGCATGTTACTTGGCTTCTATATAGGGCGCTAAGTGAAGTTGCTGAGAACATTACAAAAACTAAGTACCTATGTGGTGGGTCTCGTCAATATCACTATGTATATATATAACATAATATCACTTTACATTATTATTATCAACATAGCTGTTACAAACATAGTAATTATATACAAAAATCGAGTTTGGACCCCTTTGATTGGGTGGAAGTATTGAGAAGGATCAGAGTTTATACAAGTATACTTCTCATATACATTCCAATTTTCATTTCAATACTGAATATATTGGTGAATCATATTTTCATATCATTAAACATCATATTATCTTATCCGATTTGGGAGATAATGTCAATTCTCAATTTCAGAGGATTTTGTTTTTTATGCACCGTTTTAGGAAGTTCGACATGGCAAATAGCCAGGAAAGTAGTTGTTTTCTGCTGAATATCCAGAATGATATTATGTGCATATCTTTATATAAAGGAGAATGCAAATTCTCTACTTTGTTTGTTTTCAGATTCTTATTATGTGTGTTCTATAGATGTAATGCAATGTTCGTCATGGCATATAGCCAGGAAAGTAGTTGTTTTCTGTTGAATAAACCAAGACAGAATTGATATTTTCATCACATAGAGAATGCAATTTATCAATGTATTTCTTAATATATACATCCATTTTTTTATGTTCATAATAATAATATCTGAGACAATTCCTTTTCAATGGTATCAAAAGGGAAGTTTCTCTGTAATTCGCTATTATTTCATATTACAATAACAATATTGGTTACCTACATCATTTAACTACTTACATCTATAAAAAGTAAAAAAATACAAATCAATAAATACAATGCGCTCATAATTCAATCAATGAATAGTTATTTATGCAACAAGTGCAAAGAGTGAATGTTTATTGCATTCGACGTGAAATTGTCCGACGAGGCCGTTAGGCCGAGTTGGACAACACGTCGAGTGCAATAAACAATTTTTGCACGAGTTGCATACAACATTTTTTCTACATTCATGCAAAAAGCAAAAAATGATTTATTGAGGTGCGGCACTAGGTACAATTCTGTTAATTGTCAGAATTAATTTTTGACTGACGTTTCTATAACCACAGTTGCATTATAGAAAATGTTTGTCATGATGACAGCACGTTGAAGTAGAATGACAGATGAGTGCAATAAAAACTTTATTGCACTAAGTGCAATAAAGAACTTCTCTTTCCACTAAATATAGTTCAATAAAGTTCTGTTTTTTGCATGAATGTAGAAAAACGATAAATAATAAGCACTGAAACAATAAATAAGCAATGAATGCTAGCAGCTGATAGCTTCCTTTTTTTGTTAAAGAAGGATTAGAAGGATGTGTCGAATTTATATAAAGTATGTTATCAAATGTTCATAATTGTTCACTATACCGGGTGACACAGGAGACATGTAGCAGCCTGTAGTTTTTTTATTTAAAGTGATTATGATTATTTTGGAAATCACAGGGGGTATATAATAAATGGTAGCGCACTTTACGAACTTGACGACAATTTTTTTCAACCACCTGTTTGACCGGAAGTGACCCCAACTTTTTTTTTAAATGTCACCCTGTACATTTCTTCAGTCTATCTTTTTCGCCTTGAAATTCTCTATCCAACCATGTATCACAAAGTGGCATCTATTTCTTAATTCTCGCTGTTGAATTGCTTTTTATTCAAAAAGAATAAGTTGGCTGTGACATAAATTCCATGATATATCGACACTTGGTAGGCTTTGAAATTCAAAGATCATTAGTAAACCGATATTATTCAAAATGTTTTGATATTCTGATCAATGTCTGCAGGTTGTCAATAGCTTGTTTGAGTCAAGATGAAAACCTTCGAAAATAACTCATGA